GAAGGTAAATTCAACAGTCAGCATATTTATGTCTTCAATAACACTTTGTGCAGGGGCACCCGGTTTGAATATATTTAAAACATCGTACTCACAATTATTAGGACTTCGACCTAGAAATTTTTCCAAGTCCCGACCATTATCATCACTTAATATGAGTATCCTTGGCTGCTTCTTCTTCCTACAACCTCCGTCAGCTGTGTCATAATTTGGGCGCTCCTGATATTTCGCCCCTTTTTTTCCTGCTGCCTCTAATACTGGATGAGCCTCAAGGGAAACCAAACTTTCAGAGTGGCAGGATGGCTGTTGTCCTATTGCATGCTGCTTAAGCTCATCTCTCAGCCTCCCAATCTCCGCAACATAAAAATCACTCTGAGCCTCCAGTGCTCTCATGGAATCCACCATTTGTCGGTTTAGTTTGGAGTTTTCAAGAACCTCGGCCTTAAAAACAATCTCAGCTTCCTTGAGAGTTTGAAGCTCTTCTTGGTGTATCCTAGAAGCTTCACTCAGTGAGAGCAGCTCCTGATTAAGTTTATGAATAACCTCCCGCTGGTGGCTGATCTTTGCCTGATATTCCTTCTCTGATTCCAAAGCATCGTCATGAAAGCTCTGTGATTTTCGCATCTCTCTACGCAGGAAACTTTCTTTGGCATCGAGCTGTTGAACTAGCTCTAGGTTTTGTTTTTTCAATGTCTGATCTTTTTCTACATAGCTGTCGTGAAAACTTTCCAGGGCTTCTTTAGCGCGCTGAAGTTCCATTTGTGATTCCTGAAACTTCTGTTGCAGAGCCAGTTCAGAAGCCTTTTGGTAATCTTGCTCTTGCTCACACTTTTTCGAACATAAAATGCGATGGCCTCCTATTACTTTAACCGAATTTCGGCGATCCACACAGCTCTGATGATAAATTTCTGTGCATACAATGCAGACAAAAAATTTCAAATCTTTGTTCTTGCAACATTTAAATTTAGCATTCTCAGCCATTATTATGTGAAACGAAAATTTATTTTAAAGTTTTTGAAGCGCACCGGTATTTTCAGGACGATTCATTAAAACACCGATAAGCGCGATTGTCGATACGGTAATTTTTTTCCTTTGGAATGTTTGTTTATTTTAGCACTAACTAAACTGAGTATTAAGTTTTTAATTTACAAGACACTACGTAAATCATTTAAACTTATTTTTTTGGTTATCAGCATACTTAAAAAATTTACAATAAAAAGACAGAAAACACGGCAATTTTTGAAAACTTTTAACACATAAAATGAGCAAAAATGATGCAGCTAACAGAACTCGTTTCGATATTCATATGGTTGTTAATATCAATTAAATTCTCTGATTTTGTCTTTCTACCCCTAATTTCGTTAATAATCCCCCAATATTCCTCACTCTTGTTTTCAGCCCTATTTATTATTTTCTCGTATTGAAGCCTTTCCGCCTTCTGAATAAGTTGCCGGTAAATTTTCCGATATTTATTAAAGGAGTCTATGAAACCTTGACAGTTGGTGAATTTCCTGATCGTATGCAGACTTCTTAAATTTTTAGCTGAAACCTTAAGTCCTTTAGTTAGCTAGACTTTGGTAGTTTTAGTTTTTATTTTTCTTAAAGGAAAATTCTTGTCAAATATCGATGTTACTTTGGAAAGATTCTATAGGATCATCTGAATTCAGGCAGTGATTCCAATATTCTCCCGCGGCTAAATTTTCAAATTTCTTTAAGTTTTTCCTATTGAAAATCCTTCGCTTTGCAGATACTTCTTTTTTTGTTATTAACAACCGTTAGATTAGCTAGCAAAGCTTCGTGATCAGATAAGCCTGACGGTATGACTTTACAGTGCAACTCACACTGAAGTTGCTACACACATAGTCGATCGTTGTAGATGACTGATTAGTAATGCGTGTTGGCTCATTTACAAAGACTTTAAGATTAAAGGAGTGTGGTAGATTAACAAGTGCTTTTGTGTCTTGAGATTCAATGTCTGTAAGATTAATATTCAAGTCACCGGCCAGAATAATTTTTGAAGACAATGGAAATTTATGTAAAAGAAATTCAAGATTTTGCAGGAAAAGTTTTGAATCTCCAGCTGGAGGTCTGTATACGCAAACAAGGTAGATATTTAGTCCTTGTATGCAACCTAGTGAAAACTCAGAATGATTCTCTATGATTAAATCGTTATGTTGGTCAATTGCTGTACCTCCATACCACTTTTCCCTACAATATATTGACACGGTTCTATAGTTTGGAATATAGCAAAATTCAACCTCTGTTAGCCAGTGTTCTGTTAGAAAAATAAATGTAGGCATATGTAAGTTCTCCAACAAAACAAAGAGTTCGTCAGATTTATTTCGCAAAGATTTAATATTCAATAAAAATAATGAAAGTTCCGCAGTTTTAGTTACTTTTAGGTTTCCACATTTATTAACACTTGTGTCGACGTTGAGTTATTTTGCATTAGAAGTTGCCTATTTTGCGCTTGTAAAGATTTATTGTAGTTGGACAATTCGATATTACGCTGCTCTACGGATCTTAGATTTTCTATTAGTTGCATAATCTCTTGTTTCATATTTTTTTTCCTGTGTGAAGACTTCATCCTGAAAATCAAATAGTCCGTCTTCTCTGCTTTTCAACCTGTAGCTCTCTTTCTTCCAGTTCTTCACGAAGTGAATCGATTTGTTCTCGAAAAGTTGTGCATTTGTCCTCATTTTCAGATTCAATTTGTATTATTTTTTCACTAAGCTCTCTGTTGTTCTGGAAAACTTGTTCTATGGTGTGATCATCCTGGTTGATTTTTGTGCAACAAGTTTTACACAAATGGTATTTTTTAGGAAAAAAGTGTAATAAATCTGACCTCCATTGTACTCCACTTTGAACAGTTCCTGCAGGTAATAGTTCTGCAACCGTCGCAAACTCCACCGAAAAGCTCTGCGTTCGTCTTAGGCTCCTTGAGTACAAATGTTTGATTGCATTCAATAACCGGTCGCTACTAAAACTCTCGATATGCAAACTGCTTGCCTCCTTATCTGAGATAAAAAGTGATAATATAAACAAACGAGAAATATGTATGAGACTTGTAAAATAGTATATTGTGTATTTAGGTGGAAAAGTGACACATTCTCGGCCGACGGTGTAAGTTGACGGGCGAGGCGTAGCCGAGGCCAGCAAACACCGAAGGCTGAGAATGTGCTTTTCCACCGAAATACACATACTATTTTTTCTGCGATCGGTTAAATATCTGTTAAATGGTTGTCTTTTTGTTCCAATTATTCAGCAGTACGAGAATCACTTTTCCGGCCTAGTATTGTTATTCATTGATTCCCTAGCAACTATTGAAACATAATTAAAATACCAGAATCTTGAGTTTTGCGACCTGTCGACCGGTCAAAGTCAAAAATGCTGACATTTCTTGTCAATCGCAGAAAAAGGATATTTATATAGTTAGGAAATCAATTTTCAATTTTTTAGCCTTTTCCGCAGATCTAAGTGAGCTGTCCTTTTTCACAGTTATGGAGCACAATTCAGTGCACACTTTGACACGAAACTCAACTATACTTTCCTATTCAATTGTCGCAAAAATGTAAATAAACGCGGACCGATCTTAGATACAACCGAACCATTCCTATTGAAAAAAAAAAACCAGACTTTGGTCAATATCTCGGAGTTGGGACCAACTAGAAAAAAACTGAGAACGTCACTGAATTCTGCTTGAAAAAGTGCTTCTAGAAAGTTCTTATGGAAATCAATAATTTTCATAAACGAAAAAGTCATGATGGTTTCACATTATTGCTCAAAATCGAGAATCGCCCTCTAGCGGCTAAACGGTTGAAAATATCAAAATGCGATTTGCACCAATCAAAATTTCATGAAATTTGAGCCTCAGAGTGGGGGGTTAATTTTTCTGTATCTCGCTCAGAAATTGATGTTTCCTATTAAAAGTGTCCAAATTGGCCCACCCTGTACTGTAATTGGACACTTTCTTATGGAAACACCCTTTATTTTTAGAGATAGAAAAAAATGGACCCCCCACTCTGAGGCTCAAATTTCATAAAATCTTGATTGGTGCAAACCGCATTTTGATATCTTCAACCGTTTAGCCGCTAGAGGGCGATTCTCGATTTTGAGCAATACTAAAGCCTCCATAACTTCTTTGTTTATGAAAATAATTCATTTCCGTAAAGAGCTTTTGGAAGCACTTTTTCAAGCAGAATTCAGTGACTTTCTCAGTTTTTTTCTATCTAGCTTCGATTTCGAGATATTGACCAACATCCGATTTTTTTCAATAGGACACCCTATATATTAATTGTTCATTAGAAAGCTATGCTTTCGCCGATTTTATTAATATAAAGTTCGATAGGTTTATCTCTCACAGTTTTCGAGAAAAGTATTATTTCGGTTTTTGTCATAAGAAACAATGTGTTGGAAAAGAAATTTATCTCTGTAAGGAAACTGAGAAAGGTCTCTTTCTAACACATTGTTTCTTATGACAAAAACCGAAATAATTTTTTTTCTCGAAAACTGTTAGAGATAAACCTATTGAACTTTATAGCATTGAAATCAGCAAAAGCATAGCTTCCTAATGAACTATTAATATATAGGGTGTCCTATTGAAAAAAATCGGATTTTGGTCAATATCTCGAAATCAAAGCTAGACAGAAAAAAACTGAGAACGTCATTGAATTCTGCTTGAAAAAGTGCTTCCAAAAGGTCTGTACGGAAATGAATTATTTTCATAAACTAAAAATTTATCGAGGCTTTAAAATCGAGAATCGCCCTCTAGCAGCTAAACAGTTGAAGATATCAAAATGTGGTTTGCACCAATTAAGATTTCATGAAATTTGAGCCTCAGAATGGAGGGTCCATTTTTTTCTATCTTTGAAAATAAAGGGTGTTTCCATAAGAAAGTGTCCAATTTGGTCCACCCTGTACATAATATATTGATAAATATTAAATATTTGATCCAGACAAATTTCATTTTGCTTGCTAATAAGAAGCAAACAAAAAAATCTTACTTGTTCTACACCACCTGTGTATTGTGCTAGACTTTTATCTACACCAGTTATTTGTTTTCTACCAACAACTGGTTCAACTTCCCATACAGGCTTATTGTCCACAAAATATTTTTGAACAGCCTCTACCAATCTCTCATGTTCCACACCTAAAAATTTTTCAAATAAGTTTTTTTATGTCTGTAACCAGGAAAAATTCTTACCAACTCCAGCCACAACCATCCGTTTAGGTGTATAATGTTGGCTCAAATACAAAAACAACATTTCCCTGTCGATTTTGTCTAGGTTTTGGGGCGGACACAATTTCGGTAGGCCCAAAGTATTGTCCCTATATGCTGCCTAAGAAACAAATTTTAAAAATCATAATTTGAATAAAATCAAAAAACTTACAGCATGAATCATGTCCATAAGAATAGTTTCTTGTTCAGGTCTCATGTGTAATGTTTCCAGTTCAAAGTTTATGGCTTGTTTAGCTCCGTCAACTTCGTATGGCGTAATTTGGGGCCTTAATGTCGCTTCAGCTAATAACTGTATTACATCAGTTAGACCTAAAGAAATTATTTGTAAAATTATGGATTTTTAGTACACTAAAATTTACCAGTTGTGTAAGCAGAAGCAGCATAAATAAAAGTGTCCCTTGATGCTTGACTATCACAGATTCCTCCATGTTTTTCCAGTTTATTTATCATTTCATCACGATCTGGGTAATATTTTGTCGACTGAAATAATTAGGTACTATTAATAATTTACAATACTAGTCCATAAAGAAACTTACATTGAATGCTAATTTTTCTAGAAAATGTGAAATACCACTAGGATAAGCCACTTCATATCTGGATCCAGAATCAATGACAACCCCTACAGTACAAAATTCACCGAATCTGTTTTCAGACGCAACTCTCAGTCCATTTGATAAGGTTGTTACCTAAAAGCCAAGGTTCTCAATAAAAATTAAAGCTTAAATTGTATTGGCTTGCCTTTGTATGTTGATTTTCTTCTCGGAAGTTGGCGTAAATAGCTTTTGGTAGTCCCTTAACTGGCTCATTCATTGGAGGCATATTTGTTACTTTTTCTTTGGGTCGTTCTGTTAAATTTGTCCATTCTGTCGAGGTGCAACGTTTTAAAAAGTGGTACGGACTCTGCCATATACTAGAAAGGGTTTTTGTTAAATACATTAGACTGTTTTATTTGAATAAATGGCAAATAAACTATAAAATTGTGTAATTTTAGGTAGATATTTGAGGTTAGGTAGGAAAGACATACTTGTTTTTCGACTGTAAAATGGTATGTGAAAAATTCTTTGAGACTTGCAGGGCCATGTTTTGGTTAACTGTTTAGTAAGAATTGTTAAAATGATGCAAATTTTGATAGAAACTCCAAAAATTTTTGAAATTTCAATGAATTGTTTATGATTTGATAATTTGGTGTTTGACAGTGCAAGGTGCGAGTTTATGAGTCTGTCAGCTGTCAGTACCAGTAGGGAAGAAAATTTCTCAAAGATAAGCCGTGAGTATCGATAAATTTTATTTCAAGATTAATCGAAATTGAAATTAAATAATCATTTCTGATCCATTCAAGACTATTTTTTTGAACGCGATTGTTCAATATTGGATCATATAATTTGAAGATAATCCGGAAATAGAATTCGATAGTACTCCAGTCATTTATACAGCACCTGGCAACGTTGCAGTTTTCATTCATCTGCTAAATGTCATTTGATATGATGTCATTAGAGGAAATTTATTTTATTTTCATGAGTGAAAACTGTGAAAATAGATTTAATTATTGTATAAATAATTAATATCGCTGATAAATGTGATGATGAAAAGTTGAGTTTAGAGAATGCAGAAAACCACAATAACAATGTCCAAGCGCCCCTTTGATACCAGCCAACATGAAACCCAGAAAAAGGACAGGTTTGAAAGGATGGCCGAAATGTCCCAACAAGAAATGCTCATCCAACAGAAGAAACGGGAAATTCAGGCGAAATGGGAAGCTAAAAGGCGCCTCAATAATCTGGATGGAGAGAAGGAGAAACAACCGAAACCTGTCCCCATTGAAGCGTAAGAATTTTTACTTCTTTACTTGGTTCGAAACTGAATTGTTTTCAAGTTACTTGCCCTTGATTTAAATTTTTATTATTCCAGTAGGAAGATACAATTGCCCAAATTTTTGTGAACTACTGGAGTCTACAGATATAAAAGTTTCTAAAGTCTGAGTCTGGTAGGTAGGTAGGTACCTATATCAAAAATCAAAACATTTAAAAGAGTCTTTTCTTCTTTGAAAAGCAAATATATAAATGGGTCATTGACAGTTATCCATTCAGAAAGAAAATTTCATAATTAGGCAATCCAACGACCTGTCCAAATGGCGTCTGGTTGGCAAACAATAAACAAAAAACATATTTTTTTATTTTGACGGGATTAAGCCTAGTACTCATAACCGCGAAATTCGTTTTTTTTTTGACGTTTGATTCACACATAAAACGTCAAATTGTCAAAGCAATGTCAAAAAACAGCGAATTCGCTGTTATGTGTACTAGGCTTTTTCAATACAGTAGTGTCGCGATAATCCGATCCCGCGATAATCCGTATGCTTCTGTAATCCGCATCGCATTTTCATGCCCTTGATGTACTCTGTAATCCGGATTTTATTTGATGTAATCCGAATTCACATGACTGTTGAAAATAAAAACACAGGTTTTCACTTGTCGTTTTGTAACTGCGTTCAAGTGGAAAGATAGTTTTTACATGTCTACACGTATCATTCAATATGCAGCGTCCTTCCTTACTGTGTGGGCTTTTTCAAAGAAAATGGCACTTATTAAACGCAGACACAAAACTTTAAGTCTCAACGAAAAGTCAGCGATTATAGACGAGCTGAAACGTGGAGTTAGTGGCAAATATTTAGCTGTTAGGCATGGAGTAGGGGCTTCAACTGTCAGCGGCATTAAGAAAATGTAAAATGCCTTAGTAATCCGAATAATTTGATAATCCGGATTGGTCTGGTTTTAATTGATCCGGATTATCGCGACACTACTGTACTGACATCATTGACATGTAACAACCCGTATTCTAACCTCATAAAAATTTACCATATCTGGCTGTTCCCTCGAAATTTACAAAACATAGGGTTTGTGGGCTGTTTCATTCAGGTATTTTGAAACACTTTGAAAACAAAAACACAAGTTTTATTTAGTTTATTACAAAGAAAATCAATATAGTAAGACCATTCCAAAAACGTGTCAATATCAACACCCAGAACTTAGTACTCCTAGTTAGGGATAGTTACGTATGTATACAGGGTGGTCCATTTAACTTGAGACAGTCTAATATCTCGAAAACGGTGCGTTTTTGAAAAAAAAAGTTCAAACAAAAGTTACATGGTATCATGTGGGAAACAAAATGGCGGTACTGATTTTTGACTTCGACAACGTTTTCAAGGTTATTTCAAGGTCAACTCTTTTTTTTCAATGGAAATAAAATCTGTTTTTTTTTTAAAGATAAAAGTCAAAATGACATTATGTTGGCAACACAATGTAAAATTGTCAATGCCTTCAAATTTTTATATAGAAAAGGCTTGTGTTGCCAACATAGTTACTAAATTTTTGACTTGGGGAATTATCTTTAAAAAAAAACAGACTTTATATTTTTTTATTACAGAATCTTATTCTACAGAAAAAAACAAGTAACTTTTACTTGAAGCATTTTTCGATCCGGTTTCAATTTAAGCTGATAAAAAAGAACGAATAATTTTTTTTGTTTTCTCCTCACAAAATCGAACAGTAGAGAAAGGTTACCAAAAATACCTCAAAAACTATAACAATTGATCAAAATGACGATCGCCAACTTCAACACACTTGTCAAATCACTTTAAAAATCAAATACACAGTTTATCAAGAGGTTCCCACAACACCCGATAATATGATGGAACACATAAGAAATGCTTAGAGCTGTCAGTAAAGAAACTGTAATTTGGTGCCATGAAAGCTTTTTACAGCGAATTAACAAGTGTGCTGAAGTTGGCGGTCGTCAATTTGATCAATTGTTATATTTTTTGAGGTATTTTTGGTAACCTCTCTCTACTTTTCGATTTTGTGAGGAGGAAAAAAAAAATTATTCGTTGTTTTTTATCAGCTTAAATTGAAACCGGATCGAAAAATGCTTCAAGTAAAAGTTACTTGTTTTTTTCTATAGAGTAAGATTCTGTTATAAAAAAATATATTTCCATTGAAAAAAAAGAGTTGACCTTGAAATAACCTTGAAAACGTTGTCAAAGTCAAAAATCAGTACCGCCATTTTGTTTCCCACATGATACCATGTAACTTTTATTTGAACTTTTTTTTTCAAAAACGCACCGTTTTCGAGATATTAGACTGTCTCAAGTTAAATGGACCACCCTGTATATACAGCTGTATGCAACATCCTCTTTTAACTTAAAAGCGCTTTTTAAAACTTGGACATTTAAAAATTTGTATGGCTTAGAATACACATTTTTAAAAGTGACCAGTTTTAAAAAGCACTTTCAAGTTAAAAGAGGATGTTGCATACAGCTGATAGTGTTTAAACACAACTTGTTTCTTAAAACCAGCTTTAAGCTGAAAACAAGGTTGCTGCATTCTTAACCAGTTTAGGAATTGTTTTCCCTCTTACCGACAGATTTGTATCAGCTGCATACTTGCATACTCTGTTAAGTTAGAAGTTTGGATAAGACATTTTTGTTTATCTCCTTCATATGAATAAAACAGGTCCGAGAATACTCGTCAACGGAAAATTGTTCGAACGGAAAATTGTTCGAACGGAAAATTGTTCGAACGGAAACTTGTTTGAACGGAAAATTGTTCGAACAGAAAATTGTTGGAATGAAAAATTGTTGGAACGGAAAATTGTTGGAACGGAAAATTATTCGAAAGGAAAATTATTGGAACAGAAAATTGTTCGAACGGAGACTTATTTGAACAGAAAATTATTCGAACGGAAAATTATTCGAAGGGAAAATTATTCGAACGGAAAATTGTTCGAAAGAAAATTGTTCGAAAGAAAATTGTTCCAACGGAAAATTGTTCCAACGGAAAATTGTTCAAACGGAAACTTGTTCGAACGGAAAATTATTTGAACTGAAAATTATTGGAACAGAAAATTGTTCAAATGGAGAAGACTTATTCGAACGGAAAATTATTCGAATGGAAAATTGTTCGAAAATAATTGATCGAAAGAAAATTGTTCGAACAGAAAATTGTTTTTTTTTTTTTCCGAAAAGTCAATACATAGTTTAACTGTGAATCTATGACCGGAGTTACCCAATTCCTTAAATCTTAATATTTGTCCCTGATTCTTAATTCTTGGTTTTTTAAATTCAGTATTAATATACAAGGACTAGCACGCATTAGGTGGACGGGTTAATTTGAGTTAGTTTGCATTTTTTTGGGTTAGTTTGGGCTAGTTTACATATTTTTGGTTAGTTTCGTCACGGTTCGTTTAATACTGGTTAAAAGCGTACTGCTTGACAATAGGAGGCGCTTGGTTTTTTAAATTTAATATTAACATACAAGGACTAGCACGCATTACATGGACGGGTTAGTTTGGGTTAGTTTGCATATTTTTTATTAGTTTTGTAACAGCTCATTTAGTACTGGTTAGAAGTGTACTGATTGCCAATAATATTTTGACCTGCGCCCTTTTGTCCGCTCGCTTTTGAGCTGCGCTTTTTTGTAGCAACGCCGAATTTACGGTTCCGCGGATCTTCTCTTTAAGATTCGATGAGCGAGGCAAGCAATCGGAAATTCAAAAATAATTGAAATTTCGAGCTGTTGTATTTAAAAAAGGTTTTTCACCTTTTTGGTGGATTTACGTTTCCAAGGCGTATAAGTACATTTATTAACAATTTTCCATTCGAACCATTTTCCATTCGAACAATTTTTCTTTCGAACAATTTTCCAATGGAACAATTCTCCTTTTGAACAATTTTCCGTTTGAACAATTTTCCGTTTGAACAATTTTCCGTTCGAATAATTTTTCATTCGAACAATTTTCCTTTCGAACAATTTTCTGTTCGACTCGAGAATACTACCCACCTTTCAAATTCTATTGCTTAAATATGACCCAAACATTTCTAATTTCTTCAGGAGTATATATCTATTCAAGCAATTAAAGGCTTTTGATAGGTCTAAAAATATTCCTATTGCCATGTCGCCATACTCTAGATGTCTCAAAATCGCTTGTGTGAACTGGAAAATTACTGTTTCAGTGGATCTTCCTTCCATATAGCCATGTTCATTTCCTGAAAGAATCTCCCACTTGGTCATAAAATCCTCAATAAAATCCATCAATTTCTATTCAATTCAATTCAATTCAATTTGTTTCTCAATTTATTTATTCTTCCATTAAGTTAGAGTTTCCTCATAATTGATACCAACCGCTTGCACATGAAAATTTCAAACCACTTTGAGAATCCCGGAAGGAGACTAAAGGAGCGCGCCCACTGAGCCCGGCACATCACAGCCAGCGCGGCCGGCAGATTTTGATATGTTCGTAAACGAATAGAGTAGCGCCCACTGAAACGGAACCGCTCAGCTCGGCGCCGCACGCTCAGCCCGGCAACGACTCGTATTCTCGATAGGGCAAAAACTGCCGGTCGGTCTTCGTGTCTGCGACCATAGAAGCATTGGATTGTTTTATTTCATTTTACTTGTTGCATCATGTCCGATGAAATTTTGATTGAAACCGTTTGGGTATATGCATTGTTGTATGAACCCAAGAAAAAATATTACCACGATACCACTTGTAAAAAAAATGCTTGGGGAGAAGTGTCTTTTTTATTCACGAACCTACCACTTCGATAGTCAAAGTTGTTTTAAATGCGATTTGGGTTTGATCATGCCGAAGCAATGGGCGGTGGCTGCGGAAATGCCGGCCGCGCTGACCGTGCTGTGCCGGGCTGTGCGGGCCCAGTGGGCGCGCTCAATGAGTCTGTAGTTATCTGACAAGTTTTTTTATTAATTTATTTATTAGCAGTAAATAAAAGTTTACAATTCTTTCATATAAGAAAAACAGTAATCCTCACG